AGACAGTTTTCGTATAGAAAAGTTTCTTCGTATAGAAGACAGTTTTCGTATAGAAAAGTGTCTTCGTATAGAAGACAGTTTTCGTATAGAAAAGTGTCTTTGTATAGAAGACAGTTTTCGTATAGAAAAGTGTCTTCGTATAGAAGACAGTTTTCGTATAGAAAAGTGTCTTCGTATAGAAGACAGTTTTCGTATAGAAAAGTGTCTTCGTATAGAAGACAGTTTTCGTATAGAAAAGTGTCTTCGTATAGAAGACAGTTTTCGTATAGAAAAGTGTCTTCGTATAGAAGACAGTTTTCGTATAGAAAAGTGACTTCGTATAGAAGACAGTTTTCGTATAGAAAAGTGACTTCGTATAGAAGACAGTTTTCGTATAGAAAAGTGACTTCGTATAGAAGACAGTTTTCGTATAGAAAAGTGACTTCGTATAGAAGACAGTTTTCGTATCTGTGCATCTGAGTCTGCTAGAAACATTCAATATAAATATTTTTATTTCAATACGGTTTCCTGTTTCTTTTTTGTTTATTTCTTTTTATGATTTTATTTTACTGCATCCAAACAACAGCAAACATTTTGATTTCCCTTAATACGATTTACATAACACTCGTCATATGTTTCATCATTTAACACTTGGACATAAAAAAACTCTTTCTATACGATTTTCCATTGAAATCGATTTGAAATTCCAAGAAGTCATAGCGAAATGTTAAATGTTAATAATGAAGATGTAAATTCTTGATTATGTTTCCCTAATCATAAATGTCTCACAAAAGTTTATGTTGCATGCCTCATGCTAACCAAAAACAACCAGTGTTAAGCTAAAGCAAAAAAGAACTACATTACTGTTTGTTGCAGCCCCAAAAAGTGCTTCAATTGTTTTAACAAGATTATTTCGCGCTAAATAATCAATGTTCCATGATGAAGTTGATGATGGTGCAACAACGACGAAATATGTTATTACTTCTTCTTACTCAAGAACTAAGCATATTTTATTCTAGTTGGCAAATAATACATTAATACATAGATGCAAAATCTCTGCCACATGTCAATATTAGTTTAGATTTTATGTGTATTCATTCAACTGTTTGTGGCTGCAACATGCCATAAATTCTTTCCAAGATATTCACAAGGTATTTATATGTGTAATACTCCACTAGACTCTGCAAGTGCGTAATTCGTGTTATCTAGTAGTTTTGTAGCCTCAGTGTGTTAAACATTTCCTTAATTATATTGTTTTTGTAGTTGTTATTTCAATTCATGCATAAATAACATTACAACCTAAACAAATACCATATTTTCTTTAGTTTTTTTGTTTTGCTGTTCTACTAGTTGTATTTATTATAAGAATATTTCGAGGCAACGACATTAAAAAAATCTTAATTTTTATAGTTTTCATAATCGTTCGTATAAGATTGTCTAATTATAATTATTATCCTCAAGTTCCTCAAAATATTTCTGTACAACAGCAAATAATTTTTGCTGTTTGATTCATAACTCATTAATATTGATAAGAATGAGGAGTTATTTAATTATATGACACCTTATACACCAGGCTTCATACTCCTGAAATAACAATTGAAGCAAACCAAAAAAATACTTACTTATTTTACCATGTCTTAGATAAAAGTCGATTTTTGAAAAGTACTTTCAGAAATAAAGTTTTTGAAATTTTATCATACTAATAACATTTTTATTTTAACATTATAGAAAAATGTCGTCAAAAAGGGTTTTTAAATTGAAGACAGTTCTCGCGTAAAAAGTGTCTTCATATAGAAGAGAGTTTTCGCGTAGAGTGTCTTCATATTGAAGACTGTTTTCGTATAGAAAAGTGTCCTCACACTGAAAATTTCGTATAGAAAGTTGTATTTTTCTTCAATATGAAGACACTTTTCTATAGGCAGTTTTCGTATAGAAAAGTTTCTTCATATTGAAGACTGTTTTCGTATAGAAAAGTGTCTTCATATTGAAGAAAAGTATCTTCATATTGAAGACTGCTTTCGTCTAGAAAAGTGTCTTCATATTGAAGGCAGTTTTTGTATAGAAAAGTGTCTTCATATTGAAGAAAAGTATCTTCATATTGAAGGAAAGCATCTTCATATTGAAGACTATTTTCGTATAGAAAAGTGTCTTCATATTGAAGGCAGTTTTCATATAGAAAAGAGTCTTCATATTAAAGGCAGTTTTCGTATAGAAAAGTGTCTTCATATTGAAGGCAGTTTTCGTATTGAAAAGTGTCTTCATATTGAAGGTAGTTTTCGTATAGAAAACTGTCTTCATATTAAAGGCAGTTTTCGTATAGAAAATTGTCTTCATATTGAAAGTAGTTTTCGGATAGAAAAGTGTCTTCATATAGAAGACAGTTTTCATATAGATAAGTGTCTTCATATAGAAGACAGTTGCCGTACGGAAGAGTGTCTTCATATAGATGACAGTTTTCGTACAGAAAAGAGTCTTCATATAGAAGACAGTTCTCATACAGAAAAGTGTCTGTATATAGAAGACAGTATTCGTATAGAAAAGAGTCTTTATACTGAAGACAGTTTTCGTGTAGAAAAGTGTCTTCATATAGAATACAGTTTTCATATAGAAAAGTGTCTTCATATAGAAGACAGTTTTCATATAGAAAAGTGTCTTCATATAGAAGACAGTTTTCATATAGAAAAGTGTCTTCATATAGAAGACAGTTTTCATTTAGATAAGTGTCTTCATATAGAAGCAGTTTTCGTACAGAAAAGTGTCTTCATATAGAAGACAGTTTTCGTATAGAAAAGTGTCTTCATATAGAAGACAGTTTTCGTATAGAAAAAGTGTACGATCATCTTTAGAAAATAGTTTTGATTAGATTCAGCAGAGCAGAATATAACATTATTATTTATTTGTTATGGTCTAGCTATTTATTATTAATTATTTTTTATTAATTTTTATTATTAATTATTTCTGTGAAATCCATCCACATACTATTGGTAAATGAATTTTCATCTATGTAATTTCAGAATTTCCAAAATGTACTACTGGTGAAGTGAAGATTGTAGTCAGCCCTCTAATGAAGCATTAACAATTAAGATGGTAACAGTTTAAGGATACAATTAAGTTTGTATATATAAATATATAGAGAGTTAATTAAATATGAAATTATTTGCTTTGATATTTATTAAGAAATGTATTTACCCCTTTTAATTATTAAAGATTGTATATAATACACTCTCTTATTGAAAAAAAATATTTGTTTCTCTCCATAAAATGTATAAAAAGTGCCAGTCAGAAAGTAGAAATTGTTGTATACAGTTGTTACATATTTATCTACATACACATTTATTTACCATTTCTTTACTTATCGATGTATGTACATATTTATTTACCACTTTGCTTTTTATTATTTATTACTTTACAAACAAATTATGTACAGAAAATGTATTTAAAAAGCTTTTTATATATACATATATATTCTAATTTTATTACATCTTTATTGTTTTTTTATTTATATGACTTTTATATTAACTATGTATACTTGCTACTTATTTACTTTATTTATACATACGGCTGAATTTTTGTGTTAAAATGCATGAACTTTGAAAAACTATCAGGCTCACAGAAACTTTGTCTCCAAATCAAAACAAATGTTTTAAATATGAAAAGATCTTATTTTTTTATTTCCTTTTCTTTAAGCATAAATAAAAATACATACAAACAAAATAAGAATAATAATTAAAAATATATAAGAAATAAAAATATTACGGAATAAAACCAAAAATATGTAATATTTTATTTAAACTTTTTGATTATACCAAGGAAACAGAAAGGTAAGTAGGCAGAATTCTTGGCATGTATTCATATATATTTTGCAAGCTTTTGTAGGAAAAGAAGAACATTTTAAAACCCACCATTAATACTAGGAGAACAGAAAATATAGAAGGAGCCTCTTTGTTATAATTTATAATACATTAAATATGTGTGTGTTAGTTATATACTTAACATATACATAAGTAAATAAATATCAAAAGAAAACTAAAATAAAAATGATAAAAAATATTAGGTGATTATAATATTCAGCAGGTGACTTTTTCCTTTGTCACACATAATAAATAAAACAAAAATTCAATAAATAGATTTTCCTTAAAATTGTTGCAAAAATACTAGGGAAACAGAAAATGTAGTTGGTAGTAAAATTAAAGAATTTTAATAAGAAATTTCATATCTGCAAAAGATCTTTAAAATAATAGGAACGCATAAATCTTAGTTAGCAAACTTTTTGCTTTACATTTCATATTGTTATTAACAATGTTGGCAACCCTAAACAAATCGTAATACGGTTTTCTTAAATTACATAAAAATACCAGGTTATCAGAAATTAGTGTAGGCAATCCATGGCAGAAAGTAATATTTTGTTCAACACATGAAATAAGGACTTTAATGTAACTTTTAAAATCAAGCAAAATAATAGGAGAACATAATATTTAATAAGAGGCGCTTTTTCATTATTTGTTTATTTTTTAATCTTCATTTGAAATGGAAAAAGAAGAACACTTAAAGAAAGGAAATTCTACCAGATGCTCATAATTTTTAGCATGCAGCCTTTTCTTATTTTAGATTTTGTTTTACACAATTTTTATAGCGCAATTATGTAAAAACAACGTATTTATGTAAATTTGGGAAAAAACACCAGGAGATCAAAAATCTAAGCAAGTAAATTAAGTAATTTTTTTGTTTTCTCCTTCCAATTTTTTTGTTAAATAACATGTTATATATTGATACCTACCAGGCTGTCAGCAAAACAATAGATGTAATGAAACAAGCATTTTTTATATGTTATGTTTTTGTTTATTACATATATTTATAAAAAATTAATATAACTTGTATGTATTTACTTAATTTTAATATATAACATACATATTTACATTATTTATTTATTTTATTTATTGCTAATTTTATTTTATTGTTCTTATTAAAATAATAACAATTTTAAATAAATATTATTAACAAATTTTGTTAAAATACCAGGTGCCCATATTAATCGAAAAGCATAATTAATAAAATGCTTTTTTATTTATTCCTAATTTTCATGCAAATACATAATAGAGAGGAAGTTTCGCTTACAAATATTCATGTATTAATAGGAGTTCAGAAATATTAGCATATAATCTTTTTGTTTTATTTATATTACATATAAGTTCATTGCACTCTATAACAGGTACAATCAATTATTTTAAAGTGATTGTGACATTATGATATTTATAACAAATGTTTTTAGTCAATTTTTAGTAATACATAAAAAATTAGTTGATCATAATATCAATTAATTCATATACATATATATAATCATTTATTTATTTATTTATCTACCTCCTTTTATTATAATTTTCATAGCTTTTCTCCTCTTCTATAAAATACGAATACCAGTCTATCAGAAATTTTAGCAAGAAAACACCGGAAGGGATAACTAAGAATTAGAATGAAAACAAACATAGTGCGTAAACATTAACAATAATAATAAAGCTTAAAAACAACAACACTTACAGTAAATATAATTTACATGTAACAGAAAGAGAACATTAACAATAATAATAAAGCTTAAAAACAACAACACTTACAGTAAATATAATTTACATGTAACAGAAAGAGATCATCTATCAATCCCGTTTTATTTTGTCACCAACAATTACAATGTAAAATTGTTCTACTTTAGTAAGTAGGTAACAGATGCACATAAATTTCTGTAAGTGAAAGAAAAAACAGAAAAATTTTATTATAACACACATGTAATTTCTGCTACAAAACTGATCCTTAATAAATACATGAATATGCATGTATGTAAATTTATTATTTTCCAAAAAAAAAAAAACGAAAACTAAATATGTACAACTATGAATTATTTTCGTAGACACAAAACACCCTACGAAAAGTATTTACTAATGCAACGTAGCTTTGCACCAACACTATGTAATTGGCTTAATATAAAACTCGGCTTGGCACAGAGCGCTAGATAAAATGAACACTATTATCAAAAGTTCTAATTTTAACTAAAGTGATAGTTGTCAATATTTGTACACTTTTTTCCTTCAAACCAGGACACAAAACCAGACTACAGAATAGACTATAGATTAGACTAAAGACTCGTCTATAGACTAGGCTATAGAATAGATTATAGACAAAACTATAGACTATAAATAGAGTAGACTATAGATTAGACTGTAAACCGGACTATAGACTGGACTATAGACTAGACTATAGACTAGACTATAGACTAGACTATAGACCAGACTATGGACTAGACTATAGACCAGACTATGGACTAAACTATAGACTAGACTATAGACTAGACTATAAACTAGACTATAGACTAGACTGAAGACTAAACTATAGACTAGACTATAGACTAGAATATAGAATAGACTAGACTATAGACCAGATTATAGACCAGACTATAGACCAAACTATAGACCAGTGCCTCGTTTCTGTAACTCTCGCATCGAGAAGTTTCTCGCATGAAACAGTGAAATTGAAGAAAAAACAATGTGAATTGAAACAAAATATCATTTCTCACATGCAAGTGTTTCTGTAAGAAAATTTTGTGAGAACTATCTGTCATTTATGTTTTTTGACTTAAGTTATTGGAAATTTGTGAGTAAAAGTGTTTCTGTAAGAAAATTTTGTGAGAAGTTTCTCACATGAACTGTCAAAAAAACTCATATTTTAAAACGGTGCGGAAAGGAAATTTTTAAGTAAATAAAATTTAATTTAAACATGAATTATATGAAACAATGAAAAATTAATGTTATATTTATAATTATTTAAAAATTAAAATAAATATTGTTCACTAATTTTTAGAAAATAGGAGGAATTTCGGATATACAGAAGCAAATGCTAAAAAAGTACGTGGACATAAACTTAGAATTTGCCAAGGGCAAATTTAGTGGGATAATTTTTCGAACAATTTTCATTTAATTTCTATATTTTTTGTTTATTTATTCTTCGTTTATAAATTTGTTCAGCAATTTTTGTTTTCTTCTTTTAATTTCTATGTTTTTGACAGCTGTTTTATTGGAAATTTCCAATAAAAACGTAATTCGTGCAGCCTCTTCTCACTTTAAGTTACAGAAACACTTTTTACTCACAAATCGAGAAACGATGGAATTTTTTGTTTCACACTTCTCGATGTGAGAACTTCTCACTCAAAGTTACAGAAACGGGGTACAGACTATAGACAAGACTATAGACTAAACTATAGACTAGATCATAATCTAGATCATAGACTATAGACTAGGCTATAAACTAGATTACAGGCTAAACTATAGACTAGACTGTAGATCAGGCAATAGACTAAACTATAGACTAGACTATAGACTGGACTATAGTCTAGATTACCTATAGACTAGACTGTAGACTAAACTATAGACTACACTATCGACTAGACTATAGACTAGATCATAGAGTAGACTATAGACTAGACTATAGACTAGAATATAGACTAGACTATAGACTAGACCATAGACTAGACTATAGACTAGAATATAAACTAGACTATAGACTAGACTATAGACTGGACTATAGACTAGACCATAGACTAGAATATAGACTAGACCATAGATTAGACTATAGACTAGACTATAGACTAGAATATAGACTAGACTATAGACTAGACCATAGACTAGACTATAGACTAAACTATAGACTAGACTATAGACTAGACTATAGACTGGAATATAGACTAGACTATAGACTAGACTGTAGACTAGACTGTAGACTAGACTATAGACTAGACTATAGACTAGACTATAAACTAAACAATAGACTAGACTATAGACTAGACTAAAGACTAGACTATAGATTAGACTATAGACTAGACTATAGACTAGGCTATAGACTATAGACTAGAATATAGTCTAGACTATAGACTAGACTATAGACCAGACTAGACTATAGACTAGGTTATAGACTAGACTATAGACTAGGTTATAGACTAGACTATAGACTAGACTATATAATAGACTTTATACTATACTATAGATTATACTATAGACTATACAATAGATTATACTATAGGCTAGACTATAGATTAGAATATAGACTAGACTATACATTAGAGTATAGACTAGACTATAGATTAGACTAAAGACTAGACTACACTATAGACAAGACTATACACTAGACTGAAACTGAAAATATTTTATATTAAATCTAACATTTTAAAATAATATTTTTTAAATAAATTATGGCACAGCTGAACAAAAAATATTGCTTGTTTTATATTAAGAGTTTTTTTCTGATTTTATAAATAACAATATAAGTTGCCAATTCTATTTATTTCATTCATACTTTTTGTCGATTTTCTCTTCGTTTACCAAATCAAATACCAGTCGATCAGAAATTTCAATAAGCGAAATAATAAAAGAGGATGATCAAATATTAAACTAAATTTACATAGTTCATAAATAAATATTATCAAAAATAATGCGTAAAAAACAACACTTACGATAAACATATGCATGTATTTCTTTTGGTTTGTATGGGGAAGAAAAGAAAGAAGGACAAGCAATCAACAATCATGTTTTATTTTGTCATCAAAAAAGAAGTAAATACCAGGAAGGAATAAATTTCTGCAAAAAAAAGAAAGAAGGAAAAATAAAATACATACATACATACATATGCAAGTATCAAGCCTATCTTAGCTAAAAGCATAGAAAATAAAAAAAAAAAAACACAAGAAAAATTAAAAACACTTATGTAGGTATTACATATCTACATATTTATATTTATGTACGAAGAATTATTTTCCAATACACAGTTCACCCTACCAAAAGTATTTAGGACCGGATCAGAGGTTTGTACTTACTATGTATGTACGGTACCGCTGTAATACTAGACATATGTAATTACTTATTTTACTTTATAATTTGTATAACTTTTTCAATTTAAAAGTGTAACTGTTGCTGAAGAACGTTTAGCACTTCAATTATTATAATGTTCAAAGATTACAGCAACTCCAACACTTTTTGTAAAAAACACTCTCTCTGAATAATTGTTCTCACTTATTCAACTTTTTTTATTTAACTTATTTTATTGCTTTTGTCCAACAAATACTTACAGGTTACTGTTCGTTGTTTTTACATCATAACTTCTCCTTGTTTAAGCGGAGAGTTTTTAAAATCAAAGCTCCGCTTTATGTATTATATTCTCTATTGTAATTGTTGTGTGTACTTCATACATACATGTTTGTTTTTGTCCTGTATATTTTCAAATATATTTGTTTACATTTTATTTTCTTATTGTATTCTGTGTTTTTTTTCGCTATAATCAATAATAAGTATCGTTTATGTGAATATTTACAATATTTTTTCCAGTTTTACCAAAATTAAAAGAAAAACATTTTTAAGGATTTCTGCTATAAAATGTTAAACTGGTTAAACTAGTAGTTATTCTTGCAGTTAAGACAATTTTTGTCTGAGAACTGTCAATATATCTTAAAGTTAAAAAATAACAAGACATTGTGAAAATGGGGGTTAAAGTATTGATTTTTTTATACATTTTTTTCTGAATCACTTTACGATTTTATATATAGTCTATAGTCTAGTCTATAGTCTAGTCTATAGTCTAGTCTATAGTCTAATCTATAGTCTAGTCTATAGTCTAGTCTATAGTCTAATCTATAGTCTAGTCTATAGTCTAGTCTATAGTCTCTAGTCTAATCTATAGTCTAGTCTATAGTCTAGTCTATAGTCTAATCTATAGTCTAGTCTATAGTCTAGTCTATAGTCTAGTCTAGTAGTCTAGTCTATAGTCTAGTCTATAGTCTAGTCTATAGTCTAGTCTATAGTCTAGTCTATAGTCTAGTCTATAGTCTAGTCTATAGTCTAGTCTATAGTCTAGTCTATAGTCTAGTCTATAGTCTAGTCTATAGTCTAGTCTATAGTCTAGTCTATAGTCTAGTCTATAGTCTAGTCTATAGTCTAGTCTATAGTCTAGTCTAGTCTATAGTCTAGTCTATAGTCTAGTTATAGTCTAGTCTATAGTCTAGTCTATAGTCTAGTCTATAGTCTAGTCTATAGTCTAGTCTATCGTCTAGTCTATAGTCTAGTCTATAGTCTAGCTATAGTCTAGTCTATAGTCTAGTCTATAGTCTAGTCTATAGTCTAGTCTATAGTCTAGTCTATAGTCTAGTCTATAGTCTAGTCTATAGTCCTAGTCTATAGTCTAGTCTATAGTCTAGTCTATAGTCTAGTCTATGTCTAGGCCTTCTATAGTCTAGTCTATAGTCTAGTCTATAGTCTAGTCTATAGTCTAGTCTATAGTCTAGTCTATAGTCTAGTCTATAGTCTAGTCTATAGTCTAGTCTATAGTCTAGTCATGTCTAGTCTATAGTCTAGTCTATAGTCTAGTCTATAGTCTAGTCTATAGTCTAGTCTATAGTCTAGTCGATAGTCTAGTCTATATCTAGTCTATAGTCTAGTCTATAGTCTAGTCTAGTCTATAGTCTAGTCTATAGTCTAGTTCTATAGTCTAGTCTATAGTCTAGTCTATAGTCTATGTCTCTAGTCTAGTCTTTATAGTCTAGTTATAGTCTAGTCTATAGTCTAGTCTAAGTCTAGTCTATAGTCTAGTCTATAGTCTAGTCTATAGTCTAGTCTATAGTCTAGTCTATAGTCGTCTATAGTCTAGTCTATAGTCTAGTCTATAGTCTAGTCTATAGTCTAGTCTATAGTCTAGTCTATAGTCTAGTCTATAGTCTAGTCTATAGTCTAGTCTATAGTCTAGTCTATAGTCTAGTCTATAGTCTAGTCTATAGTCTAGTCTATAGTCTAGTCTATAGTCTAGTCTATAGTCTAGTCTATAGTCTAGTCTATAGTCTAGTCTATAGTCTAGTCCATAGTCTAGTCTATAGTCTAGTCTATAGTCTAGTCTATAGTCTAGTCTATAGTTTAGTCTATAGTCTAGTCTATAGTCTAGTCTATAGTCTAGTCTATAGTCTAGTCTATAGTCTAGTCTATAGTCTAGTCTATAGTCTAGTCTATAGTCTAGTCTATAGTCTAGTCTATAGTCTAGTCTATAGTCTAGTCTATAGTCTAGTCTATAGTCTAGTCTATAGTCTATAGTCCTATAGTCTAGTCTATAGTCTAGCTCTAGTCTATAGTTCTATTAGTCTAGTCTATAGTCTATAGGTTCTATAGTCTATAGTCTATAGTCTAGTCTATAGTCTAGTCTATAGTCTAGTCTATAGTCTAGTCTATAGTCTAGTCTATAGTCTAGTCTATAGTCTAGTCTATAGTCTAGTCTATAGTCTAGTCTATAGTCTAGTCTATAGTCTAGTCTATAGTCTAGTCCTATAGTCTAGTCCTATAGTCTAGTCTATATAGTCTACTAGTCTATATCTAGTCTATAGTCTAGTCTATGTACAAAGTCTAGTCTATAGTCTAGTCTATAGTCTAGTCTATAGTCTAGTCTATAGTCTAGTCTATATTAGTCTATAGTCAGTCTATAGTCTAGTCTATAGTCTAGTCTATAGTCTAGTCTATAGTCTAGTCTATAGTCTAGTCTATAGTCTAGTCTATAGTCCTAGTCTATAGTCTAGTCCTATAGGTCTAGTCTATAGTCTGTCTATAGTCGCTAGGCTAGTCTATAGTCTAGTCTATAGTCTAGTCTATAGTCTAGTCCTATAGTCTAGGTCTATAGTCTAGTCTATAGTCTAGTCTATAGTCTAGTCTATAGTCTAGTCTATAGTCTACTCTATAGTCTAGTCTATAGTCTAGTCTATAGTCTAGTCTATAGTCTAGTCTATAGTCTAGTCTATAGTCTAGTCTATAGTCTATCTATAGTCTAGTCTATAGTCTAGTCTATAGTCTAGTCTATAGTCTAGTCTATAGTCTAGTCTATAGTCTAGTCTATAGTCTAGTCTATAGTCTACTCTATAGTCTAGTCTATAGTCTAGTCTATAGTCTAGTCTATAGTCTAGTCTATAGTCTAGTCTATAGTCTAGTCTATAGTCTAGTCTATAGTCTAGTCTATAGTCTAGTCTATAGTCTAGTCTATAGTCTAGTCTATAGTCTAGTCTATAGTCTACTCTATAGTCTAGTCTATAGTCTAGTCTATAGTCTAGTCTATAGTCTAGTCTATAGTCTAGTCTATAGTCTAGTCTATAGTCTAGTCTATAGTCTAGTCTATAGTCTAGTCTATAGTCCTAGTCTATAGTCTAGTCTATAGTCTAGTCTATAGTCTAGTCTATAGTCTAGTCTATAGTCTAGTCTATAGTCTAGTCTATAGTCTAGTCTATAGTCTAGTCTATAGTCTAGTCTATAGTCTAGTCTATAGTCTAGTCTATAGTCTAGTCTATAGTCTAGTCTATAGTCTAGTCTATGTCTAGTCTATAGTCCTAGTCTATAGTCTAGTCTATAGTCTAGTCTATAGTCTAGTCTATACAGTCTATAGTCTAGTCTATAAGTCTAGTCTTAGTCTAGTCTATAGTCTAGTCTATAGTCTAGTCTATAGTCTAGTCTATAGTCTAGTCTATAGTCTAGTCTATAGTCTAGTCTATAGTCTAGTCTATAGTCTAGTCTATAGTCTAGTCTATAGTCTAGTCTATAGTCTAGTCTATAGTCTAGTCTATAGTCTAGTCTATAGTCTAGTCTATAGTCTAGTCTATAGTCTAGTTATAGTCTAGTCTATATTCTAGTCTAAGTCTAGTCTATAGTCTAGTATAGTCTACTCTATAGTCTAGTCTATATGACAAAAGTCTAGTCTATAGTCTAGTCTATAGTCTAGTCTATAGTCTAGTCTATAGTCTAGTCTATAGTCTGGTCTATAGTCTAGTCTATAGTCTAGTCTATAGTCTAGTCTATAGTCTAGTCTATAGTCTAGTCTATAGTCTAGTCTATAGTCTAGTCTATAGTCTAGTCTATAGTCTAGTCTATAGTCTAGTCTATAGTCTAGTCTATAGTCTAGTCTATAGTCTAGTCTATAGTCTAGTCTATAGTCTAGTCTATAGTCTAGTCTATTGTCTAGTCTATAGTCTAGTCTATAGTCTAGTCTATAGTCTAGTCTATAGTCTAGTCTATAGTCTAGTCTATAGTCTAGTCTATAGTCTAGTCTATAGTCTAGTCTATAGTCTAGTCTATAATCTAGTCTATAGTCTAGTCTATAGTCTAGTCTATAGTCTAGTCTATAGTCTAGTCTATAGTCTAGTCTATAGTCTACTCTATAGTCTAGTCTATATGACAAAAGTCTAGTCTATAGTCTAGTCTATAGTCTAGTCTATAGTCTAGTCTATAGTCTAGTCTATAGTCTAGTCTATAGTCTGGTCTATAGTCTAGTCTATAGTCTGGTCTATAGTCTAGTCTATAGTCTAGTCTATAGTCTAGTCTATAGTCTAGTCTATAGTCTAGTCTATAGTCTAGTCTATAGTCTAGTCTATAGTCTAGTCTATAGTCTAGTCTATAGTCTAGTCTATAGTCTAGTCTATAGTCTAGTCTATAGTCTAGTCTATAGTCTAGTCTATAGTCTAGTCTATAGTCTAGTCTATAGTCTAGTCTATAGTCTAGTCTATAGTCTAGTCTATAGTCTAGTCTATAGTCTAGTCTATAGTCTAGTCTATAGTCTAGTCTATAGTCTAGTCTATAGTCTAGTCTATAGTCTAGTCTATAGTCTAGTCTATAGTCTAGTCTATAGTCTAGTCTATAGTCTAGTCTATAGTCTATTCTATAGTCTAGTCTATAGTCTATTCTAGTCTAGTCTAGTCTAGTCTATAGTCTAGTCTATAGTCTATTCTATAGTCTAGTCCATAGTCTAGTTTATAGTCTAATTTAAAGACTAGCCAATAGTCTAGTCTATACTTGACTATAGACTAAACTATGGAACTAGAAGGAACATCTAAAAAAAGTTAAATAAGTACCAATTTTTACAAAAATTTAAATTAAAAACTAATATTAAATAAATAATATTTTTAAAACACACTATGGTAAGGAACATCCGAATAAATAAATAAAAATTGCATGTTTTTTATTATTTCTGTTTTTATTAATTAATCAATAAATTTATTTTATAACAACAACAAACACCTTTTTTTCTCTTCGTTTACCAAATGCAAATACCAACTGATCAGAAATTTTAATAAGCAAAATAATAAAAAAAGAAAGATCAACAAATATACTTAAATACATAATATAAACATAAGTTCATAAATATTATCAAAAATAATGCATAAGACTTACAGTTCATGTATTTCTTTTGGTTGGTACGTAGAAGAAGAGAAAGAAGGACAAGCAGTCAATAATCATGTTTTATTTTGTCATCAAAAAAAGAAGTAAATACCAGGAAGGAATAAATTTCTGCAAGAAAAAGAAAGAAGCAACATTAAAATATGTACGAATATGCAAGTTTTCTTTTCAAGCTTATTTTAGCTAAAAGCATAGAAAATAAAAAAAAAAAACACAATAACATTTAAAACCCTTATGCCCGTATATACTATAAGTATATATTTATGTATGAAGAATTATTTTTCAATACACAATTCACCCTACCAAAAGTATTTAGGACCAGGTCAGAAGTTTGTACTTATGTATGTACGGTACTGCTGTAATGTGGTTGTTATAACTAGACATTATTATTTATTATTTTTTATATATTTTGAATAATTTTTTTAAGTTAAATGTGTAACTGTTGCAGAAGAACGTTTATAATTGCAATCAGTACAAAGATTACAGCAACTCTAATAATACCTACATAATTGCATTCACTTTTTGTAATTATAAATCTTATATTGAAAAAAAAACACTCTCTCTCTGAATAATTTTTCTCCCTTATTTAAATTTGTTTATTCCTTTTGTCCTAAAATATTTACTATACGTTGTCTTAAGATCAAAACTTCTCCTTGTTGTAGTGTTGTTATATTTTACATTTCGAGCTTTGTTTTTATATTTCCATTTACTTGTTTAAGCGGAGAGATTTAAAAAAAACAAAGCTCCGCTTATGTATTATTCTCTCTTGTAATTGTTGTGTGTACTTTATACATACATGTTTCTTTTTGTCCTGTATGTTTTCAAATATATTTGTTTACATTTTATTTTCTTATTGTAATTTGGTTGTTTTTTTTCGCAGTAATCAATGATAAGTACCGTTTATGTGAATATTTACAATATCATTTCCAGTTTTACCAAAATTATAAGAAATTAATTCTTTTAAGGATTTTTGCTATAATTTTTGTTAGTTAGAAAATCGTGAAAAAACTTTATTTTATAAAATGATTGATGATTTTTTTATACAAATTTTTTATAAAACTATGAATTTTTTGTTATTTGTTTATTTTATAAGAACTATTAAATTATAAGAACTATTATATTAATTCCTTCTTTATCATGTTTTTTTCATAAATTTTTATTTTATAGAAAATGTTCAATAAAACTTCTTTTTTTTTAATTTGAATCTACAGGTTTCCTTTGTATTCACTAAATTTACGTTTTACATTAAATTTTGAATAAAATTTACTTTTTTAATTTTTAAAAAAGTTTTATATTTTTTTTTAATAAAAATTATTGATACATTTCCTTTTTTATAGAAAATTTTCGACAAAGTTTATCTTTTTTGGAAAATATTCGATAACTTTATAGAAATTTACGTTTTTATAGAAAATTTTGGATAAATTTAATTTTATTTTTAGAAAATTATGGAATATTTTTTTTTATGAAATCTTTATTTTTAAAGAAAATTCTTAAAATTATTTTTGTTGAAAATTCGAGAAATTTTATTATTATAGAAAATTTTCGTTTTTTATAAAAACTTTCGATAAATTTTCTTTTTTATAGAAAATTTTCGATTAATTTTCTTGTTTGATAAAAAAAATTTCGATCAATTTTCTTTTTTGATAAAAAATTTATGAAAAATTTTCTTTTTTGATAGAATCTTTTCTATAAATTTTTTTACAGAAGTTTTCGATGAATTTTATTTTTTTAAAGAAAATTTTCGATAAATTTTCTTTTTTTATAGAAAATTTTCGATCAATTTTCTTTTTTATAAAAATTTTTCAAGAAATTTCCTTTTTTTATAAAAATTTTCGATAAATTTCCTCTTTTGATAAAAACTTGTAGATCAATTTTCTTTTTTGATAAGAAATTTACTATAAATTTGCTTTTTTGATAGAATTTTCTTTTTTACGGAAATTTTCGATGAATTTTCTTTTTTTTATTGAAAATTTTCGATAAATTTTCTTTTTTTATAAAAAATTTTCAATCGATTTTCTTTTTTATATAAAATTTTCCATAATTTTTGATAGAATATTTTCAATAGATTTTTTTTTCCTTGTAGAAAATTTTAAGAACTTTTCTTCTTTTATGAAAATTTTCGATAAATTTTCTTTTTTGATAAAAAAAATTTCGATAATTTTTATTTTATAGAAAATTTTAAAAAAAATTTAGATGAATTTTCATCTTTTATTGAAAATTTTTTCTTTTTTTATAAAAAATTTTCAATCGATTTTGATTTTTATATAAAATTTTCGAGAACTTTTCTTTTGAATATTTTCAATAGATTTTTTTCTTGTAAAAAAATTTTAAGAGATTTCCTTCTTTTGTAGAAAATTTGGATAAATTTTCTTCTTTTATGGAAATTTTCGATAAATTTTCTTTTTTGATAAAAAATTTTAGATAATTTATAATTTATAGAAAATTTTTGAAAAATTTTCTTTTATGATGTAATCTTTTCTATTTTTTTATAGAAAATTTTCTTTTTTTTCAATTTTCGATTAATTTTTTTTACAAAAATATAGAAAACTTTCATAAAATTTTTTTATAGAAAATTTCGTTTTTTCTTTTTTGATAAATTTTCTTTTTTATAGAAAGTTGTTGATGAATTTTCTTCTTTTATTGAAAATTTTCGATCAATTTTCTTTTTTATAGAAAATTTTCGTTCAATTTTCTTTTTCTATAAAAAATTTTCAATCGATTTTCATTTTTATATAAAATTTTCGATAACTTTTTTTTGATAGAACATTTTCAATGGATATTTTTTCTTGTAGAACATTTTCAAGAGATTTTCTTCTTTTGTAGAAAATTTCGATAAATTTTTTTCTTTTATGGAAATTTTCGATAAATTTTATTTTTTTTTTAAATTTTTGATAATTTTTATTTCATAGAAAATTTTTGGATTTTTTTTTTTTTTTTTATAATAGAATCTTTTCTATTTTTTTATGAAAATTTTCTTTTTTTTAATTTTCGATAAATTTTCTTTTTTTACAAAAATATAGAAAATTTTCTATAAATTTTTTTTTATAGAAAAATTTTATTTTTTGTACAAAAATTTCGATAAATTTCTTTTTTTAAAGAAAATTTTCATTAAATTTTCTTTATTTTAAGAAAATTTTCATTAAATTTTCTTTATTTTAAGAAATTTTTCATTAAATTTTCTTTTTTTATATAATATTTTCGATTAATTTCCTTTTTTGTGGAAAATTTTCGATAATTTTTTATTTTTTAGAGAAAATTTTCGATAAATTTTCTTTTTTTATATAAAATTTTCTATAAATTTTCTTTTTTGATAGAAAATTTTCGATAAATTTCTTTTTTGATAGAAAATTTTCGATAAGTTTCTTTTTTGATAGAAAATTTTCGATAAAATTTATTTTTTTATAGAAAATTTTTGATAAATTTTCTTTTTTAAAGAAAATGTTCCATAAATTTTCTTTTTTTATTTAATTTTTAAAAATTTTCGATAAATTTTCTTTTTTGATAGAAAATTTTCGATAATTTTTTTTTTTTTATAGAAAATTTTTGATAAATTTTCTTTTTAAATAGAAAATGTTTGATAACTTTTTTTTTTTAATAAAAAAAATTTTCAATAAAGTTTTTATATAAAATGCTAAAGCTTTCTTTTTTATAGAAAATTTTCTTTTTATAGACAACATTTTTTGGATAGAAAATTATCGATTTTCTATCTATAGACAAATTTTCGATTATTTTTCTAGTATATTTCAATTTAATTTTAGTAAGAGTTTTCAATTAGTTGATTAGGGTTTATATAGAGTACTGTATTGTTTTCAACAACCAACTGATGTAAATGTCGCAATAGCAAATAAAATTTCGGTATAAATTCTACAAAAAATCCAAATTTTAAATAAAACATTAAGAAGCATCCATCCTCTGGAATTAAAATTCAACCACAAAATTACAAAACAATCGCCAAACAAAAGAAATGGAAATAATTATTAAACAATAATGGAACAGAAAAAAAAAAAAAAAATAATAAGGAGGACTTAATGAAAACATGTGTGTTCAACTGTGCCATCATTTACAGAAAAATGACCGCCAAACAAATTTCACTCACATTGACGCTATAAATTATAATACTTGGACTGGTTGAGGAGTGTTTTACGTTGTGGCCTTTCTTACAAAATAAATAAAGCATTTCAAAAGAAAATCAGTTATGGTTTCAACTGTGTCTGGTCATTTGGTCGGGTTTTATATAAATATGTATATGGACCAACAGCAGTCGTATTGGTTGTTGTTTTTGTTTTCCGCTTTTGTCTTTTTAGCCCTTTTATAATTCAAATGTAGAATGTCGTCGATTTGGTGGTTATTTCTTCAATGAATTTTGTTTCTTTAAATATTATATATTATGAGTGTGTAAATCTGAAAGAGTTTGTAGAACATTATTATTTTGTTTTGAATGAAAAGAAGGGGCGCTTCTTTCCGTTTTTCATAAATTTAAATTATTAATTTTTATGCTTTTATTTTTGTGTGAGTATTGTTATGTAGATGATTATTGGATGCTGGAAATTCAAATAAAAATGAAACATTTATGAATGAATACAATTTACTGAAGATGGTGATGATGGTACCCACAATCATCAGCACAGCTCCCTATGAAATAACCAAAACCACTATTATCATCAATTTGTTTTACTACATATTAGACTGACTGTACGATGATGAATCTGGCGACCAAGATGATTGTGTCGTTTTTTGTTAGAGCTGCTGCCTAAAGATGTTCTTTTTTTCTCCTCAATTTATATTATATTTTGGCTTATACACTTATTATTCATACAAATATACATAGATTTTTTGTTAAAAAAAGCAATTTGGGGGATTTATTAACGTTTTTTTTCATTTCTTTAATTTGTGTTGGACAACAGCGGCCTAAGATCAAAAAAACCTTGAACGGAAATTGGAAAATTATAATCGAATGTTTTTTTTTTATTCAAACACATATATTTTCAAATTTTGTTGTGTTTAGTAGTTGTTTTTTTTTTCGTCTAAATATCACAAAAGACAACTTTTTTTGAATTATGTCCATAATGAGTGCGTTTTATAATTATTTTTGATTGTGTGGTTTGGTTTCG